TTTTTGTTATTGTTGTGTCTCTCACTGTTCAAATAAACCTACCATTGAAATTGTAGACTGATCATTTCTTTGTTAGTGGACAAACTTACAAAATCAGCTGGGGTTCAAATAATTTTTTTTTCCCTCACTGTAAAATAATGTTTTTGTCACAGAGAAAGTTTACCTTCAAGCTTTTATTTACCTCAGACATGTCTTTAGCATCACTATGCTAGGCCCACTTCTCTTCACTTTATACATGCTTAAGCAATATTATTAGAAAAAATGTGTTGTTGTGAATTGGCACTTTACAAATAAATGTAATTGAATCAAATCACTGTTAGCAGCTGACAAACACACACACACACACACAGAGTATATCAATAATAAGCCAGTGTCAATCCATATATTGACCTGTCTGGTTTATCAGACTCCACAGGGAGAACCAGGAGTGCATGTGTCAATCATTCTCCTCTCTCTTCCTTTGTCAGGATTGTTCTGGTGGAGAGCATCCCTGAAGGACTGGAGTTTAATTCCAGCACCACTCACCCCTCCATCTTCCAGAGCTGGCTCAGTCTGATGGCTGAGGCTCGCAGCAGTCTCAACATCGCCTCGTTCTACTGGACACTCACTAACCAAGACACTGGCACTCATGAGCCGACAGCCTATCAGGTCAGCTGGAGTTATGAATGGCCAGATGGCCCAGGATGGTTATTATACAGTAAATAAAAGCATTATTTTGATGGTCAGAACAGCTGATCTGAATGTGTCTTCACCTCTTCTACTCCTCTAACATATTATATTGGAATGGAAAGGCTTAGTGGGTGAATTTTAATTCCATGTGGATTTACATTCCCCTGATTTAACGCAAGTCTGTTCCCTTGAACATTGTTTTCTTGTTGACTGTAGCAGTGTAAAGTCCTGTGCTTACTGTGTGGACAGGGTGAGACCATTCTGACGAAACTAGCCGAACTTTCAGGGACGTTGTCTGTTCGCATCGCAGTCAACACACCGCAGGATAGTCAACCCCAGAGAGACCTGACACTGCTCAATCACTCAGGTGACGCTCTGTCTTAATTAATATTGTAATCATGATTCCAACTGTTTGGCCCAGCTCTTATATTTGCTTTGAGTTTGTTCTTGTAACTGAGAATAATGTTTTCCTATTAACACAAAATCACAACTAGGCTTTAATTGTTTTGTTATTCATAAGTTCTGTGGCACGACATCGGCTCAAGTCACATTTTTTTGGAATCAATGTAGAAAATTCTCAGACTAGTTGTTAAAAAGAAACAAAGGTTCAGGTATAAAGCTCACATCTGCTGTATATAAATAACATTCTGACATAGTAGCTCCAGAGATAAATGAATTGATACATCTCAGACTTTTTGTTTCCATTAAATAGGTTTTGTTACTCAGTTTACCCAAAAAGAAGTTTTAGCTGGTTAGTTTTGTGAGAAATACTGGATATTTTGAATCTCTTGATGTTAAAATATATTTTTTTATTTACTATCAGGAGCTTCAGCTTAAACACAAAAATAGTTAATGAACAAAATCTTATGGCTCCATATTATGTAGCAGAACATTCAAGTCTTCAGTGTTTCCCAACCATCTAAGGAGCTATTTACTGGTCCCACTAAAGCACAAACACTAATACATGACACGAGACAGTGTTTTGAGCTTGGGAATAAAGCCAAGGCAGGTTTATTTATATAGCACATTTTGACAAAGCCAATTCAAAGTGCTTAACACAATAATAACGCAAAGTAGCAACATGCAAGTGTAGATACCTAGTACTTTTAGCTGTGGCAGGCATGTTTTCTTTCATAAAGTTTGAAACAACGGTGTCTATAAGGTCAGCTAAACCCTTTAGGATAGCTGTGGCAGACTGTGGATTCCTTCTGTTCTCATTATACTTTGTGCCTCTTTAATTAAGTCTTCCCAAAACTAACTACTGAGCTATTTACACCAGAGGAGCTTGTACGGTCAGCTAAACAGCCCAGTGAAGTTAATTGGTGCTGGGGTAATGGATGAAAATTAAAAGCAAAAATATAAACTGATAAAATGCTAAATTGGGTGGAATTAATTGAAAGTAATGGAAAAAGAATCTTTAGTCTTTAGCTTAGTTTCAGTCCAGTCAGGATCTAGGTTAAAGCACTTTCACCTTGTTTAGTTTGAACTCTGGCACCACTAGCTGACCAGTCCCTGTAGAACGGAGACACCGACAGTACCAGGAAAACATACACGGTCTCTGATGTATTTTGGGCCCAGACCATTTGAGAGACTTGTAGACAGTAAGTAGGGCCTTAAAATGAATTCTGTATTTAACTGGAAGCCAGTGCAAAGATCTAAGGACTGGACGAATGTGTTCTCTCTTCTTGGTGTCGAATGTATATTATGGATATTTAGTATGAGGATCCTCTACTTAAAATGATTGAAATGATTTAATAAGCAACATCTTTTGGCTCTGTACTGTGTGGGAGAACATTCAAGTCATCAGAAACACACACGCTAACACATGACACGAGACAGGGTTTTGAGCTTGTGAATAAAATTCTTCCGACCATTAAACTTTTTTGTTATTGAGGTGATAAGTACTTGTTGTGTGTGTGTGTGTGTTTTAGGAGCAGATATCAGGACAGTTAACATGAGACAGCTCACCTCAGGCGTACTTCACACCAAGTTCTGGGTTGTGGACAAGAAACATGTGTACATCGGCAGCGCCAACATGGACTGGAGATCCCTCACACAGGTACATGCTCGCACACACAGGTTGTCGGTCAGATTGAAGTGCCACCAAAGGTTCACAAATATATTTTGCATCCTATGTGAATCTCTTAAAAGGATTACGTGAATGTTCCTCTGTGTGTGTGTGTGTGTGGTTTCATTTTTTTAAGCAACTTTAACAACTTAGTGTTCAGCTCTAATGGATCTCAGCCAGTATCTGCTCAGCTGACAGTGGGGAAGTTTGTCTCGTGCCTGATCCAGGCAACATTCTGGTTTTCTACTTCTAAGAGGAAGCTGCTGTGTTGGTTCAAACTGCCAGTCTGACCACATTCTGACAGAATAGTTTAAATGTTTTGTAATACTGTTTTATCTTTAGTCATTTTGCTCAGTGGTTGAGGGCACCGTCCTGGTTTTCTGCAGACAAACATCCCAAAAATTTCTGTGTCTACAAAGCAGAAAAATCTAAAATCTCTCAAGTTACCAGGTAAATGTAATGATCATTCATTTGGAGTCTTCATGTCCAGTCAAGGTTTTATTGACTGGTCGAAAGGTGGGATTAGAAATTCAGACTGTGTATAAACAGTGAGCTTCTGTTGTGCTGCTGGTCTCCAGGTGAAGGAGCTCGCCGCCGTGGTTTACAACTGCAGCAGTTTGGCTGCAGACTTGGGAAAGATCTTTGAAGCCTATTGGTTCCTGGGGGAGAGTCAGTCGATCCCATCGCCTTGGCCCGCCAGCTTCTCCACCTTCTACAACAAAGATACGCCTCTCCAGCTGCTACTCAACAACACACCATCCAGCGTCTACCTGTCGGTGCGATACTGACATCTCTCTCTCTTTTGTTTTGCTTTGGTACATGAAAAGAAAGAATCCCATCTTAAAATCATTTTTGATTTACTTCTGGTTCACTAACATGACTCTATAAAGAACATTTACACCTAGCATGTTTTTCTTTGTCATGAATTTAATATGTAAAACTATTTTTTTTTTATTTGTTGTGTATGAAAATAGTTTTTCTGAGCCTGGCACATCATTGGCTTCCCTACAGTTCCTTCTTACATTGGTGGCACCATTAGCCCAAGTGTACCTTACTCTCCTTTAGTTTAGTCATCAGACTTTGTGGCTTTCTTTTAGCTAAAATCAACAGTTAATTTACTGGAACTCTCATCTCTCTTTCTGTTTCTCAGAGCTCCCCTCCATCCGTTTGTGCAGCTGGTAGGACTCCAGACCTTCAGTCCATCCTCAGTGTGATTGAGGACGCCCAGAGCTTCATCTACATTGCTGTCATGAACTACCTGCCCACCATGGAGTTCTCACATCCCAAAAGGTTCAGTTGTTCAGATTTTTTTTAAATATAACTACAGGAACGATTGTTGAGAAGAATGAAACTGTGTATTTCATGAAGATATCAAAGGTTTTCTGAGCATGTTATGTTTATCTAACCTATATTTTACCAGAGAAAAACCCCCTGAGGTTAGAAACCACTCAGTGGCGCCCTAGCCAAGACGGAGGCGTATAAAAAGAGACAATGAGGTTTAATAATGTAGTATAGATTCTGACACAGCTGCAGGTTAGTGTGCTGCTCCCGTGTCCTAATACTTTGCATGCGGCACTCTCTGCAGGTACTGGGCAGACATCGACACCCAGCTGAGGCGAGCGGCGTACGAGAAGAAGGTCGAGGTACGCCTGCTGATCAGTTGCTGGAACAGCACCCCGCCAGTCATGTTTTCCTTCCTAAAGTCTCTGGCCTCAGTCTATGACCCCAAGCACAACCTGGACATCCAGGTGGTACGTAGCTCCTCTGAATTCATTTCTGAAAAAAAGACCTAGACATGTTCAGGTGTCTGCCACTGAGAAAGGAGGTTGTACATATTATAGCACATACGTGACGACCACGTGTCCCTTCCCCAGAGACTGTTCGTGGTGCCTGCCAGCCCCAAACAGAAGGAGATTCCCTTTGCCAGAGTCAACCACAACAAGTACATGGTGACTGACAAGATAGCCTACATAGGTGAGGCTGCACCCACATTGCATTTTTTGTGAAACACACTTCAGTGCCGACAGATGTTGTAAATATCTTAAGTAGTTTCTGTAATGTTTGGCGCGATAAAGCTTTGATAAACACAAAGTGTGTTCATTCATGCACCTGAATGTGACGTTACACATTAGTATTCATAGGCACCTCTGCCCTTTTCTTAAAAGATAATTCATTTTATCATAAGAAAAAAAGTGTTCATATCATTGTAAATTGCATAAATTAGTGCTTTTGTTGACCCCATTTCTGCAAGAGAAACTGATAAAAGGGCTAAAACCTGGTCTGTCTTTCTGTCCTCAGGTACATCAAACTGGTCAGGTGACTACTTTGCAAACACAGCTGGCTCAGCGCTGGTTGTCAACCAGACTGCATCACAGTCCCTGGAGCCAACTGTACAATCACAGTTGAAGGCTGTGTTTGAGAGGGACTGGAGCTCGGACTACAGCACTCCTCTCACCCAGCTTACAAACCTCAAAGACGTCTGTTAGTCTCAACAGCCAGTATTACAAACACACTATCAGTCTACTTTAAAGAGCCCATGGCTGCTCATTTTGCTCATTTCCAGCCATTTAATGTTTAATCTTGAGTACCTCTGGATTAGCTTTGCACCTCAAATAGGCTAATTGTTTCAGAACGAGAGCCTCCTCTTGAAAGCGAGAGGTTAGTTCATGAACACGCACACCTCGTGTTGCCGATCAGGAAGCTACTACAATGCATAAACAATAACTAATTAATAATTTAATAAATAAACTATGTTTCTGACAATAACAGTACCTCAAATCCTACCAGACATGTTTGAGCCAGAACTTTAAAGTGGACAGCACAACGAACCGCAACAGCATTAATAAATCTGAATTTCTCCTCCATAGGTAAATGATGAAAAGAGACGTGACCTAAACAAAGCGGGTAATTGAGAAACCCCACATTTTAATTGGCACAACACAGACATGGGCTGCACAGTGGAACGGTGGTTAGTGCTGTTGCCTCACACTAAGAAGGTCCCAGGTTCAAACCTGGGTCAACCTGGTTCCTTTCTGTGTGGTGTCTGCATGTTCTCACTGTGCCTGTGTGGTTTCTCTCCGGGTACTCCGGCTGAGAGGATGAGGATGTCAGGCAAGTTCACATAAATGTGCAGCTGCCTGGAGATTGACCATTCAAGGAAATCCTTAAATTGTCATGTAAGACTTTACATAATTATGAGCGAGAGTTTGAGAGACTTGTATAAACCAAGTTGCTTCTGCATAGAAGTACTAGAACATAGGTACACCTCATTTTTTGAGCTTTAGGTCACGTCTAAGAAGATAATTCACCGTTGTAACATTGTAAATGAGTCAGAAAACACAGAAAAGCATGGCATGGGCTCTTTAATGTACCACAGGTAGACACTTCTGTTCAACACATCAGTACTACAGCACTACAGTTACATGTAACATGGAAACTCCTGAGCTGAAAAAAACAGGCAAATGTCTTTTCAGCCACTAGAGCTTCTAGTTGAGACCAGAAACACACTTTCTCCTCTTTACCCCTCCCATCCTGTTTCCTAAAGCTACAGCTACAGATGCCTGGTTGCAACAAACCATATCATAGGCAGCCTCCAGCTCAAAGCTAACATTAGCTGACTAATGCCAGCTATAAAAACCCTTCTTCTAACCTTGGCTAGGTGGCAGGTAGGGCTGATTTACAGACCGTCCTTTGACAACACAGGGTAGAGAAGCTGGAATAACAACAGAAGGGCTGTAGGCAGCAGAGGGTCATGGAGGGGGGGGGTAGCTGAGAGACACCATGTCCTGTACCACTGTCACTGGGTTTATCAGAATGTCTGGACAATCCGAGTTAATGCACTTTTATATTCTAAATAATTCAGTCATTATTTGTGTCAGGTTATGTCAGTAGCAGACACAGCTTTAGTCAGTTCATTGTCATGCTGAGGCTCCCACACTCCCCCATGTTGATCACGCTCTGGTTTGAAACCACAATGCAGTGGGAGTTCATTTAATCTCATCTCAGGGAGGAAAGTTTGAGTATTTTCTTTATGAATCATTTACGTTTGCTTTAAACTGGAATAATTATCAAACTGGTTTTCTGTATCTGGACTGTAAATAGGATGAGCTTTTTAAATCCATTCCTTTCAAATAAATTCATTTCATACTAAAGTCATCTGTGTGTTCAGTGGACCGCCAGTTTGCAGCAGCAATAAATGAGGATGAACTAATTTAACTTCCACTGTGTGGAGTGATTGAAACTATTAATTCATGAAGGGGTTTGTTATGGTAACTCTCCAAAGAGGCTTGTCTGTGGGTTTAAAGTGGTTGTCATGGACATGAGCGAGTAAGTAGGGAGAAATACACAGGAATACATAGAAAATATACATATATGGGCATACACCGTACTTCTATCCATAGCAATACACAAATGACATCAGGACAGGGCTGAGTTATCAGCATTTCACAAAAAAAAAGAACAAACAAACAAAAAAAAAAAAAGAAATTTAGGGCAGCATGGTGGCACGGTGGTTAGCGCTGTTGCCTCAATTCTGTGTGGAGTTTGCATGCTCTCTCTCCCCGTGCTTGCGTGGGTTCACTCCGGGCACTCCGGCTTCCTCCCACAGTCCTAAGACATGCAGTTTAGGTTGATTAGTGTCTTTATAGTAATAATATATTTGAATTAAAGGAAATTTTTATAATACTGGCTGATTTTTAACTACGGTTTCCCCTTGACAACGTTATCTCCACTCCCCTTTTCTTCTTTTTAGACTGAGTGAGAGAGATTTCTTGAGCCACTCACACACACTCACACGCACACACCCATACATTTGCTGATTTGGAATTTGACATTGGTATATTCACATTAATAGGACGGTACATACATATCCAAACTTAGAGTCGAACAGTCCACAACAGTAACTGTAAACTACTGCTAAACCTGTCACTTAAAAAAAAAAAATTACAATAATTACAGCAGTAATAATAACAGTAATAAAGACACAAATACATAAAGTTTCATTCAGATGAATCTCATATAATCTAACTTGAACACTGTGAAAAGGACCATTTTCTGTGAACGTGAAGAAAAGTAGTTGAAGGAATGGAAGAAGTTAAAAACTTGGGACAACTTAAAGAATGGGTTTTAGGAGAAGTGGCTAGAAGAGCATCAGAAGGACAAGAGAAGCAAATCAGAAAAAAGCAGAAAAATTGTGGGGGTACTGGGAAGAGCAAGGTCTTCTTGCTGGCACACCTAGTGGAGCATTTCCCCCTCCCAGAGTAATTATGTGCATTGCCACCCAAGCAACAGGTGCATATAATAAAGCTGTAGAAGACTGGGAAAAGAAAGGAAAATCTACATGGGGTCCTACTCACAACAGGATGAAGAAATTCAGAGACAGAGACACAATGACAGTGGAAATGTGTAAACTTATGGCAGCAGTGGGGAAGGAACAGACTGGACAAGAGAAGATTAAAGACACGGTCACCCCTACAGCGCCCCCAGTGGCATCAACGTCTCTATACCCAGTCCTACCTGCAGCACCATCTTCATATCAAGCTCTGCAATCCAAAGCCAGGCTACCAATTCAGGCACCTCTGATGGATGTAGAGGAGAAAGGAGGGTACTGATGTACCACAGCTCAAAACTTGACAACATGGAAACAGGACAAGCAGGATGTACAAGATACCTAGCAGCCCTAGCTAAAGCCATCACAAAGACAAGTCATATAGTGATGTGCCATGAACTAAAGGTGAACACTGACCACGGAGAAGTGGCTTTCATGGGATCAAGAGCATTCACCTTTTCACCAACAAAAAAAAACTCAGATCTCTGAGATACAGCTGCAGCCCCATATCACATTCTACACTGAAGGAATAAACATGGCAAGAGGACTTGGCACAGGCACTGGCCAAGCACACAACTGTGCAGAAAAAGCAGAAAGAGATATAAAAATCAGAATAGACCTGGCAGCTGAGCCAATCCCAGATCCTGATATGACTCTGTTTACCGACGGATGCTGCTACAGAGGAGACAGTGGTAATGTGGCGTCATATGCAGTAGTTGAACAAGACCCAGCTACAAAGACATACATCACAAGGGACCAAGGAATCATCCCCCAACCAGCTTCAGGCAAGTTAGCAGAAATCATTGCATTGAAAAAAGCATTGGAACTGGCAGAAGAAAAGAGAGTGAACATCTACACAGACTCGGCCTATGGGCACGGAGCAATACATGTACGTACTGTAGATGGGCCACAATGGATCAGAAGGAATTTTTTGACCACTGCCAACACTCCTGTGAAACACCGAGCACAACTTGAGAAGTTGGTAAATGCAGTGCATCTGCCTGCTGCAGTGGCAGTGATGAAGTGTAAAGGACATCAAAAACTTA